CAAAACAAGCAAACATGCAAAAATACTTTAAATATAATATAAATGTTATATATATATAGTTAACCATAATGATATTTAATCGTTATGGTGATTTCTAGACAACTAGAGCTACAATTTGGAGCTCTTTTTTATTGTAATGTTTGTTTGTTTTTTATATTTGGGAAAATTGAATGAATGTGGCTTAGGTGGTGACAATGAAAACATAAGCTCAAACCTATGATCAAATACTGATTTAAATACCACGATTTGCTAAAATGTTGTTAGAATTTATATTGTAACCCATTGGCATTAATCAGTTCAAATTTACATTGTAACCCATTGGCATTAATCAGGTCAAAACAAAAGTTTAAATTGCTATTGTCATTATTATTAAATGTAAAAAAATAAATAAATCCCTGCACAGTGCAATCCCAGTCACTGCATTAATGTGGGCCACTTATAAATAAACATGATTTACTGTGGTACAATCTAGCACAGACTGAACTGGGCAAAGAGCCTGAACCACTGTGGCTTCCCTTCAACATTTATCCTTATATATATAAGACAGAGATTCTATATAGAACTGTGGAAAACACATATTCTGTACAGTATGGTTCCTACTTTTCAGCTCACATTTTTAATGCTGCAAGTAAACATTCTAGATGTTACTATTCAGTGGGTTTGTTGAAAATGACGAAGAAAACGTAAGTGTAGCCCCGAGGTGTTATTGTAGCATTATATAGACCTACATCATCAACACAACACACCTGATAACTAGACACATGTAGATAAATAACAAAATAACAAACATCTACACACAATACACACAATACAAAGGCACAAAGACTCAGGCTGAGCACAAAAACATGAACCCACACAGCACTGTCAGACAGACACTGGTGTCCTGGCTCTGCACTTATGTAACACCTACGCAGATTGTCGCCATGACAACCTGGTACAATTTTTTTTTTATCATAAAGAACTGGTCAAAAAGGACTGAAGCTCTCAGGGTAACAGAGACACAAAAACACCGGCTACATTTTTCTCTTATACAGGCTGAAGAGATGAGAGAGAACACTATTAGTCAACGTAAATAAAGGTTCATTGCTGCTACATTGAATGGCAACGTCAGTGTTTTGTCTCTGTTTTGGATCTATCTTCTAATGCACTAACAGCTCAGACCTGAGGAGTTGTGTAATGATGCAGTGTATTTTTATAGTTTGGAAACTTTATTCCAGTATGGCTTTAATCAACCTTCCTAAGAACACTGTCTTTCATCCTTCATGTGAATCCAGTGAACCTGGAACCATCTACAGCTGACGTCCAACTAATGCACTGGTCAGTGGGTGTGACTTGTTACAGGACTACTCTTAGCTGGAAACCCAGTGAGTTAGAATGTACTAAAGAAAACCATGTTCTTTTTCACAGGATTGTCAACATGGGATTTTAACATACATCCAGGGTGAAAGCCTTTTCTTCTTCTCTATGTCAGGGTCCAATTAATACAATTTCTCATTAGTCATTTAACCAAGTTTTTACTGTAGTCTATCTGTTAATACACAACGAGAGCGTAACATAGATAAAACAAATGAGCGTGTGTGTTTGTGTCTCTGAAGCCCTCTGCAGTGGTCTTCCTCTGCAGTGGTGGCTCTTACGTAATAGTGAGCCATGATAAAGAGAGGGAGGGGAGTGCACACACACACACACACATACACACATACACACACAAACACACCAACATTGAAAACAGTTCACTACATGAAAGCCTTACCTATTTCATTAAAGGTGGACAGACCTGCTGAGTATGTTAATCTGATCACATCACTGACACACACACACACACACACACACACACGTCAAGGACAGGTTAACCCTTTACTAGTCTCTTTTCCTTCCATCTTTTTCTTCTATGTCTAGATTGACATCAACCCACAGAGATAAACTCTAGAAAGTGTGGGGTGAGTACATCTAAAAAAATATCCTTTTACAAACATTTAAGACAAATATGTTCATTCACAAAAATGAAAACTGTATTTTTATGTTTTGTTTTTGCCAACAAATTGTCTTTCAATGTCTTGAGCCACCCTTGTTTTGTTTTTTTTGGTGTAACCCAGAAAGAGCCTGAGAACAGATATAGCCACATGAATGAGTCACAGTCAGGGTTAGACGAGGGCAGAACAGGATAAAATACATTTTATAAATGTTAGTGATCTGTCAGTGGTTTTGACAACCTGGTCAAAAAGACAGGTCACACAGTGTATCCCTAAAGTAGTGTCAGCCAGCAGCAGTAATATACATCACTGTATAAGACATACAGTGACACAACTTTGGTTCCAACTTCTCATTCTAATTCAGATGTTTCCTTATCGTTTATTGCTACAAGTTTTATAAATATTTACAAAAACTACAGATATTTGTAAAAGAACAGATGGTCTTAACATGGTACCAATGTATTTTCCACATTCAAGGTGGGACACACACACACACACACACACACACACGTCAAGGACAGGTTAACCCTTTACTAGTCTCTTTTCCTTCCATCTTTTTCTTCTAGATTGACATCAACCCACAGAGAGAAACTCTAGAAAGTGTGGGGTGAGTACATCTAAAAAAATATCCTTTTACAAACATTTAAGACAAATATGTTCATTCACAAAAATGAAAACTGTATTTTTATGTTTTGTTTTTGCCAACAAATTGTCTTTCAATGTCTTGAGCCACCCTTGTTTTGTTTTGTCCTCCTCCAGCTAATCTCTTTTCACACCTCCCCCTCTCCCCCTCTCTGCTGTAACAGTCTACTTTCAGGTTTACCCTCTGTGAATGTTTAGTCCTTGTCAATGATGCATTTCACTGCTCCTCCTCTGCCTCCTCCTCTGCCATCTCAGCAGAATCCCAGCTTCATTACTCTCTCTGCAGTGCAACAGCAGAAATGCTCACGTGCTGCATGTATCAGAAACATAGGGCCCACGTGGAGCAGAAAGGGTCAAACAGTGACTAAAGAGAGCAGAGATCGCAGCATGGTGCGGACTGAGAAAGAATAAAAAAAAATCTTATCTTTAATAGTATGTCATCAATGTACAAATTATGTTTGACATGGCTACTGTTCTACCACTTAGCAAGCATCATTGTTAGCTTTTGTGATATGCCTTTTACAATTAATTTAATAATTAATTTGCTAAATTAATTACTATATATGTATATATATATATATATACACATATATAGTATAAGTATCTCACAAAAATAAAAACAGGCAGCTGAGCTCATTTTCTAGCATTCTTTAATTTAAAAAAGTCTGTGAGTCCATGAACAAAGACAAACAAAAACAAGTTTTTTTTGCATGTAAACTATACACTTATGTTCAAAAGGTTTCATCAAGCAGAAAAAAAGTACCATTGTAGCATTTATCTGTCTCCTTTTTTCTGAAAATAGCATTAAATCTTCCCTATCATACACAGACATCCTTCATGTATTGACATGGGAGGTTTTTAGCATTACCACAACTCATTTGATTTATCTTCTATGTTTAACAGTCACTATAAAAAAAAGACATGCACATTCTCTTCCTCATGACATCAGCACTTAGCCCACAGACATGGGTGTCCAACAGCAGCAGCAGGGTGGACTATTGGCTGTAAACTGCTCAGAAGTTTGAGGTGATACAATTTAAATCTACGTTCAAAGTCAAGATTCAGGTTAACTTTCATTCATTTAGGTTTCTGATTCCTTCAAACTGACAGTAAAAAGTGACCCAAAAATGACAGTTCAAAGTCAAGATTCAGGTTAACTTTCATTCATTTAGGTTTCTGATTCCTTCAAACTGACAGTAAAAAGGGCCTAAGATTTGACCCATGGTTTGGCAGAGCACAATGTCTACAATGTCCTGCCTTCAAGAAATCTTCAACTTTGAAACTCACAGCAGGATGTGTTGTTCTTCAGTGTCAGGCAGAACAGTCAGTAAGAACAAAACAAGAACATTTGGTTCAACGTAGAACAAGTTGTTCTTGGCGGCTAAAAACGCAGACTGACTGTACAAACAAATTACAGTAGGTCCATGTTGGACATTTTATTCTGGTGTTTATTTTCTAATATCAAGCCTCATATCAAGAGTTTCTAGTTTTCTAGGACTTGAGCGAGTTTTATTTTTAATTCACCAAACTGTAGATGAAATTGTGTGACAGACAAATGTGATAAGTTTGGTGTTTAGAACACCAAACTGTCAGCAGTTGAATTGTACTGAACTGTAATGATCGTTCTAGTCAAGTTTTGTTCTCCAGCTTCACTAATGAAAACAAAAAAGGAAACACTGTTGGTTGAAGTCTCTTTCACTAGAACTTTGTAAAGCTGAAAACATTTTCAGGTTCAGACACTCTGATCAGAAGCTCTGACACCGACACACATCAGAGCATCAGACTGTAGACAACACCCGGACGTACCACAACCTGATACACAGTAGGTAATGCTACAATGAAACTGACAGGAAAGACAACAATCACCACACACACGCATTTGTTACAAAACGTGACCCAATGAAAACTAAATGCACTTGAGGAAGATGATAAAAGTCACAAAGACGCTTATTACACAGTCATTCTCTCTCTCTCACACACACACACACACACACACACACACACACACACATACAGCAGAGTGTGCTGATTGGCTGTTGTGGGCAGGGCTTTTCTACAACATGAAAAAAATGACACATCAACACAAATAAAAATTAAAAACCATTTCCCATAAGTCTTTGTGTTCATGTCCCATATGTTGAGTAGTTCGTACCAATTATGGAGGGGCTTATTGTGGAATGGCGTGTGATGTCAGTAATACAGTGATGACATCACAGACTGGTGATTGGTGGTCACTCAGTTAGTTCCTGTTACTTCCTGTGTAAATCCAGTGGAGTAAAGGAGGAACTGATTTTTCTTTCTTTCATTTTCTCTCCCTAGGAAGGTTGACAGAGGAGGCAGGGGGGAGCAGGGGTGAAGGAGGTCAAGTTTAAGGTCAAAGGTCAAGGAGAAGTGAGTGCAGGTAAAAAGAAGGGAAAGGGAGATAAAACAGAAAGACTGGTCCAGAACTCTAGTCCGTATCCACTGTTCGTTCCAAAAGAAACTAGCAAAAGAATGTAGAGAGCAGGGATTGTAGAGAGACAGGGAACTAGCGGTTGTTCTTGGCAGCTTCCTTGGCAGCCACAATGAGAGGAGTGAGACTGGAGAGAGGCTTCGCCATCTTCAGGAACTGATGCTGCAAGAGGAGAAGTGAAAAAGAGGGAAGGAAAGAGAAGGGAGGTGCACACAGAAACAGGGAAGGAGTCAGATGAGAAAAAAACAGAACGTGAGAGAGAGATGTGACACCACATCAGAAAAAAACTTTTAAATTAAATCTACCTTAAAAATGATGAGCAGAACTATTTTCCATTTAAATGTGATGGCACTCAAAATAATGGACATCTTTTTCTCTAATTGGACTGGTGTTCTCAGCTAAAGGTTTAAAACGCTCTACGCTAGCAGAAATTTAAAAAGCACAAACCTACTCCCATCATGCACTGCAAAACATTCAGCCCCTTTATTAACCTAAATATTATATATAAATATATCACTGAATATCACACAATATACCAAGTAAGTAAACAAATGTAGGCGAAAGTAGCACATGTTCTTTGTTTGTATGTAAATCTATTGGTCAAATAATAAAATACTAATACAAAGACACACAGTGCTGTGCTGTACCTGCAGTAACTCTTTAGCCGACCCTCTCTTCTCCACATCCATCTCCAGACATCTGTTGAGGAAATCCCGGAATATCGTGGACAGTTTCTCTGGATTCTGCAGCTCTGGTGTGCCATTGGTTGCTATGAGGTACAGCGCCTAGAAAAACACACAGGGAGAGCAGAATAATTAACAACCCTCATCATAGTCATCATCTAATTCGACCACATATACATTCAATTCTTCTTCATGTGAAGCCTTATTTGACACGTTTAAATAGGCTATATCAGCTTAAAGTATAGGTTGAGCACATCAGGTGATTCTAAGACTCCAAATATCCAAAGGAGGCATTTGTTGTATTTATTATGTTTTGTTTCATTTATGTTTTGTTTCAGCTGAGCACCTGAACGGACGGTCCCCTAAAATGTTTTACATTTTTTCAACAAACATGTCTCGGTGAAAAAAAAGGTTGGGTGCCTCTGGTCTAAAAATTCATATACTGTGGTGCCACCTAGTGGCGGTTTAAGGGATGACAATGACTGTGTCATAGACTATGAATAAAAAAAGAAAATAAAAAAAAAGATATTTCAATGCTAACTTAGCTTTCACAAACAATTACAGTCCTTTAAGAGTAAAAAACGTTTTAATTGATTGGTTCACATAGGTTAGGATCTTCCTCTGCAGGTACCTTGTGGCTGTTAATGGATAAAAACGATCACTACTACAATATCTTGAATTAAATTCTCACAACACATTTCTGATAAAACAAAGCACCTCACCCTGAGTGGATTCTCATTCAGGTACGGTGGCTCTCCCTCCACCATCTCTATGGCCATGATGCCCAGTGACCAGATGTCCACTTTAGGCCCATACGCCTTACGGGTCACGACCTCTGGTGCCATCCAGTATGGAGTCCCCACCATGGTGCTGCGTTTGCTCTGCTCTGGTGTGATCTGGGCGCAGAACCCAAAGTCAGCTGTGAAGGAGGAGAGACCACAAAACGTAGTTACAATGATGCAGCTTTAAAGAGTATAGATCAGTGATTTAACAAATATGTATTTTTAAAAGCAGTGGTTTAAGGTTAAATGATCACAGAACTGCCACATCATTTTACTAATGTACGAACAGAAAACTTTTAAATGTTAGTTGTTGTAGACTGACTGAGTTTGACAGAGCCGTCCATGCCCAGCAGGATGTTGTCACTCTTGATGTCCCGATGAATGACTTGGTTCGAATGAAGAAACTCCAGAGCCTGTAGACACTGGGGAGACACAACCATGACTTTTTAGATGCAACAAGACAAATCCATTTAGCTTGATTTGACATCAGAAAGAGTCAGAGATAAGAGATAACAGTACCCATGAATACATACTGTACACACTAATAATATAATATATGAACACAGATACACATCTGTGTATATGTTGTGTTCCGTTGTGATGTTTACCTCTCTGCACACGGCAGCTATTTGGGCTTCGTCCATGCAGGTTTCTGTGACAACATCCGTCAGAGAACCTCCAGCCAGGTACTCCATCACCACCCAGAGTTCGTCTCCCACCAGGTAACTGTGGAATAAAATAAAAACATTTTAAATTCTCTCCATTGCGTCGAGGGAATGAAACACCAGCTGTAAATCTCTTACAGCTACAATGTTGTTTCCATGGTTCTGACAAAGTTATCACAAGGCAGTCTGACTGAGACTCCAATCTATCTCAAGGACAGACAGGTAACTATGGCAACCAGACAAAGCGGCTACCCTCACCCTCTCCAGGATGTCATACAGGGACAACGGCATCAGTGAATTCTCCAGTGGTTGCGGGGCAGACATGAACACATACAACACTGTGGTGAAGCCGTTAATGTTCACAGCTGTGTTCAGGTGTGCACTGGTCCCTCACCTGTCCAGGTAGTTGACTATGTTTGGGTTTTTATTTTCCCTCATCACCAGGATCTCATTGATGATCAGTTCCTTCTTTGGCTGCTGCTGTAGGTTCATCTGTTTAATGGCGACCTGAGTGAAGAGAGATTTATGCTCATACTCAAATTTACAATTTAAAATGTAAAATGGAGACAAGAAAAGTAACGGGAAAACAAAATGAGTGTATGTTAACGTTATAAATTAAGGGATTTGACATTGAGTCTGCACTGGGAACATTGCAATTCCTGTATGTTTGTAATTTTGTATTGATTTAATGCTGTGTAAATTAATTTATATGACAGAGAAACAGAATAAAATTAATGCTGTGTAAATTCATTTATATGACAGAGAAACAGAATAAAAAATGAGCCCAAACCTCTTGTCCTGTAGCGATGTCTATGGCCGTGTACACTGTACCAGACGCACTGGTAACATAACAAAAGCCAACGGCTATGTTAGGCTGTTTACTGATATTTACTAACAATGTATTAAACAGTGAACCTCTGACTCACCCTTGTCCGATCTTCTCAAAGCGAGTATATTTCTTTTTTGGGTCTCCAACACTAACAATGGTCCCTGGGTCAAAGAAACAGAACAGACTGAAGTCAAAACACATTCATTATTTATTCACCAATGTAAACAGAAAAGACAAGGAATCACTTTGGGGGGGTGAGAAGACAAAAATCAGGCTTGTAACCAGGCACTGAACTCTTTGTGCGGTTAACTTTATAAAAACACTGAATTTGAATGGATCAGAGGGTCATGTGACTTTCCATTCCATCCTAATTCTGCTCTATGTTCACCACACTGTGGACAAGAGAGGCATGCTGACTGGGGTAAAGGAGAGAGAGAGGAGAGGAGTGACAGGAGATGGAGAGAAGGTACGAAGACGGAATCAGATCAGAAAAGAAAGAAGAACAGACAGAAGGCTGCTTTCTGAAGGTTTTCTGAATCCACATTAGGACAGACTGTGACGTCACACCGGAACCGCAGGAAACTGGACGATGGAGGGAGAGAAGACGACCAATCAGAGGTGAAGACTGAACATAGGGGAGAGGAATAATAAAAGTCAGGTCTGTCAGCTCAGCAGAGGACAGACAGGCAGTATCCTGATCTTACCAGCAGAGGGAGACTTGAGCACATCTGGACGGGCGTGTTGCGAGATTTAGAAAATATACAGACTTTACTCAGGTCAAGAACATAAAACATGTCGGGAAGGAGTGTGTTTGTCAAAGACTTTGGGGTTAAAAATATAAAATCTTTTATTTTGTCAAGGGGAAATACTCTATTTCACAGATAAAAATCTGCAGCTTACATTTAAATTTACAAACCATGTTGGATCAACACCCTAACGCAGCTCATACTGTGTCAATGTTGCAGAGATCAAGTTTGTGTATACGGTTTTATTACCCTTGTTAGATGTGCTTTACATGAATTAGGTTGTGCTTGTTTGTTGTGCACTAACTTTAGACTAAATTTCTAAACTAAACTAGACTAAATTTTTCTAAAGGTATTTTCAGAAACCAATTTGATACCTGACAAAAGTCTCCTTCAATAAAGAGATTTTGCACGAGGCCTTAGATTGTGGATTATCATTTTAGTTTAATAATAAGGGAATATGTTGAGATTAAGGTAACATTAGTCACCATGTAACGCAACGTTAAAATTCCAAAAACATCAATGGGAACCATTTTAATCGCACATGAAAAGTTCTTATGTCTACTTACCTGTGGTGTTCCATCATATGATTTTTAAACGGACAAATTAACTCAGATAAAAAAAGGATAATATGAGGAGTTGCCTTACGTAGTTTTTCCAGAATTTCCTCGTCCGACATCTTCTTCTTCCTGGATTTGTCCTGAGGCTGGGGAACGGAAGGACCAGGGGCAGGACTGGCACTGGGAGGGCTGCTGGGAGCGCCATCTGCAGCAGAAGCCGGGGTGACGGCTGCAGCGGCTCCTGCTGTAGCTCCTGTAGCTGCTGGAGGGATGATGGGAGAGGTGGCAGCATCTTTGGTCGAAGGAGGAGGGAGGGGCTCAATCACTGAGCGAGTGTATATCTGAAAAGAAAAGGGGGTTTTAAAATATGTATTCTACTACTGAAACAACTGCAATATTTGAGTTTTAAATATTCACTGGTGAATTAGCATCAACATTTCAAATAGAAAAACATTTACAGATGTTTTAACTTTAATAAACCAAAACCTGTTCTGAAATACATGAGCTTCACATGTATATGTAATGTCACTAGATTCTCTGAAGCAACTCTGAAAAGAGTTTATTTATCAGATTATCAGGTCTGTTTTATACGTCCAAATATGGCTACCTGCAACGTCTGAATGTCATGAAAACAAATACAAGGAAAACAAATAGGATTAACGCTGCCAAGGAATTATTTATGAAGGTCAACATATCCCAGAATTCATCATGTTTCCTTTGCAAGAACTCTTTGACCATCTTAGCTTAATATAGCAGGAGCAGCTGTTGATGTAATTTCCAACATGTATCTTTTTGGAAAAGCTGAAAAAATTCCAAACATGCTCCTGAACGTCCTTTAAACAACTTTGTGTCTTGCAGTTGTCTGCAGGCCATGACTTAAGCACATGACGATGCTAATATGATACTTTACTGATGTAACTTGTGACCCACTAGTTCTTGTCAAACATCTTTGATTTGAACATAAATCCCGTCGACAAGGAGAGAGAGCGAAAATGCTCTCTCTCTCTCGTGCATGCGTGTGTGTGTGTTCTTACTGATTTTGTGTGTTCTGGTCTGGGAGCGATCACCGGCGGAGGCTCAGCTTCATCTTCATCCTCGTCCTCAGACACAGTTGCGATGGCGGGGGTCTCTGACACAGCCTTGGCATTCTGCGTGACGTCACATGGAGAGAAGGGGTGGAGCTTCAGAGACTTCATTGCAACTTGAGCTAACATAGATACGAGACCCATCATCCCACATCCACCACCGTCACACAGTCGTCACGTAGACACACCGGACGTCTCCCTCGACTTCAACCTCTTTCTTTTGTTCGGCTCGCTCCACTGTTCCTACCCGTTCCTCCATCTGCCTTCTCCTACATCACTGCTGATTTCTAACAGCCCTTTCTTACATCTGGACTCTGATGCCACCGCTAACACCTTCTTCCCTCTGTCCCTCCCTTTCTCTGTCCCCTGTCTCTCATCCTAAAAGTCTGCTACTGGCTCAGCTAGCAGCTATAATGCAGAAACAGTGAAAATTGTAAAAGATGCTGATTCACAATGCGGAGGGGGAGAGAGGTGGAGAGAGAGAGAGAGAGAGAGAGAGAGAAAGAGCGAGAGAGGGAGACATAGAGAACAGAGAGAGAGAGAGATGATAGTGAAAGAGAGATGTAGATGTGCAGAAAAAAAGAATTAACATTTGTACAACAGAGGAAGACTTACCACTGTGACGGTGGAGTTGTACGCATCTGTGTTTTTGTCTGCAGTGAAAGAGGAAAATGAAAGTTTATGTCGATGCTGTCAGTGAAAACTAAATAATCCTTAGCCACAAAATTTAGCAAGTTCAATTCAATATACAAGAAGGAATCAGACGTTGTCTCTCAGTACGTTTCTGTCTGTGTATCCTCCAGTGCTTTGTGTTCAACATCACAAACATGTCAAAACAACCAATGACAAAGTGGCTACAGTTCACGCTCTTTCTCTTCGGTCCCTCTTTCAAACAACCGACTGCTGCTTGATTGATACACATTATGATACTGAACTGAAAACAGTGGAGAAAATACTGTATGTATATTAGTCTTACTGACAGCTGTCGAGGTGTAAAAACAGGTTATTAAAAAACGATAAATAACAACTAGTAAGTGTGAAGAGTGAAGTGCTGGTGTACCTGTGAAGCTCATGTATTTCTGGCTGTTGGCTGTTTCCTTAGAGTCATAGAACTTTAAAACATCCAGCACAGCCTGAGGGTTCTTCTTCTGCTCCAGCTTAGTGATGTTGGAGGTCTGCAGGAGGCGGGCCCACTGCTCCGGCATGCCCTGCACACACACACACACACACAGCATCGAATCATCAACTTTTTGTGTAGGGTTGTCCAATAATATCGGCCGACCAATATACTGTATATGTATCATGTGTAAAAATCATTATTGGTTTTTCCTCTTATAATGAAAACCTGATAATGCAATCCTTAGGTTTTGTCTATTCGTGTAAAAAAGCATCCACTTACTGTAAATTCTCCGGTAACAGCATCAAAGCCAACGTGGATGGTGTGTTCAAAATCAGACGGCAGTGAAATCTCTGGACGTTCCTTTTTCTTGTAGGCTAAAACACAGAAGTACAACACAGAAACATTAGAATCATATACAGTAAGCCGAGGGTTGAACCTGGAACAGCAAGTAAACGGAAGTAAAAAATACCACTAACCAACACGTAACAACGCAGCTCAAATGATCTCACATATTGTATATCATGTTATTGCACTATTGCTAATTGACAGGTGTGAATTCGGAGCGGTTTACATTTTTGATTTTTTTACTACAACTTTTAAATTTACCAATTTTTACCAAAAACAGTTTAGAGCAAAAGACTGAGACTGGACAGTGGTCATGACAAGAACATTTTAGTGATCACCACAATTTTTACCAAATACAGTTTAGAGCCAAAGACTGAGACTGGACACTGGCCATGACAAGAACATTTTAGTGATCACCACAGTGTTATTTCCCCAGGAAATAATTTTAATTAGGGTCACCTCCTCCCATGGAGCAGGAGAACAACTAGATGGCGCTGTAACCATTGATAGCACATGGAGCTTTAAGGTTGAAGTTGAAGAAAAAAAAAAGGAAATAATTTTAAACCAACTCATAAATAGAGAGAAAAAACTGCAGAAGAAAACAGAGAGAAAAACAGATGGGAACTCAAGGGAGGAACAAGAACAAGTGAAAGAAGGTGTGAAAAGAAGAGGAGAGGGAAGAGCATAGAGATGAAGAACAGAGAGAAGAGAAGGATGGTTATGCAGACGGCACATGCTAAACTGATGTGAGGTGATACCTGGGGAAATCATGAGTACCAGGGGGAATCAGACAGGAAAACAAACAATGATGCTGAACCAGGAGATTCATGCATCATGGGTAATATGGCCTCTAAGTCCTCCTACATGCACAGCTCCAGTCACACAGATGAGAAAAAAAAGAGAGAGGCTCCTTAAAGCACAGGGGAAAAGGCTGGTTTCAGCTTCTCTGCCTCAGACGTTTCATCTGTAGGTTTACACAGTGGTTGTGTGTATAATGCACCTGACCTCTGTTACTGTTCTCTCCTGGCACTTGTGCTGCTGAAGACCAGAACATTCTAATTACTGCTTGTTAAATAACAAGCAGACATTTTTCACACAGGCTGTTCATCGTTATTAGATTATAACTACAGCTTTGTGGGTGATCATTTCACATTAGGAAAAATATATAATAAACCTACTTTTAGATTAAAAAACAAAACTGTTAACATGCTGTAGTCAATGTTTATCTTTAAATCTGACTGAAAGGTCAAATCGTTGATTCTAGGAAGCAGAGGAAACATTTCTGGTTTATCTAAATCTTCAAGTTTTGTTTTTTTTTTTAAGTGCAAAAAAAAAGATGTGAAGTCCCATTCTTTAAGATATCTAACCAGCGGGTCCTGAGATGACCCCGGCCTCTGATCCTCATTCCACTGTCCTCTGGCTGCATAATGGTTTATGTGAACAGTAGGCCTCACAGCAGGGACTGTGAGAGCACATGCATGTGTGTATTGTCTGAAGTAGGCCAGCCATGTGATGTGAGAGGTAAAAGACAACAGTTTGGTTCCTTTGATTCTGTGTGAACATTCTTCTGTTGAGTCACTCACCTTGTCTTTTCTTTATGGTCTCATTAAGTTCATTAAGTTGAAAGAAAAAAACAACAACTTTTCTAACGTTAGGAGTTTGAAAAGCAAGTCATGCATTAAAACTGTGACTCTGCATTGTTTTAGTTTGTCTGTTTCTATTTTCTAGTTTCCTCCATCTGTGTTTTATAACAGTGTGGAACAGGCTGTGGCCTTACTGGGTCACAGCTGCCGTGAGACGAAGCAGAATTCAGCTTGAACCTTTTTATCTCTACTGTCAGAACACAGCAAAATTTAAAAAATAAATCAACTACTATAATAATAATAAATACTGTATTATACTATAATAAATCATCTTTAAAGAATAATATCACTTTAAGAGATCACTGTCAGTTTGGAAAACACTACAGTAACATATGTGCCCCACAACACAACAGGAGCAGGTGTTTGGATTACAACGGTTAAGTTTGTTTAAGGTACATGTTTTGGTTTTGTATGTCTACTGTAGCTTAACGGTTAAGTTTGAGGTACATATTTTGGTTTTGTATGTCTACTGTAGCTTGACTGTTGATTGACCTCAGATGTAAGTTGCTTTGGATAGAAGCATCTGCTAAATGTATTGTAATGTAATGTAACAAAGAGAAAGAGACCAGAGATCAGAGACAGACAACTGTACAGAGGAAATCTCTGTTTAACTGCTGCCACACTGTAGTTGACGTTCTGTCTGAGGGCACCCATCAATACTCACTCTTGTCCCCTCCTCCAGTCAGGATGAATCTGATGGATCGATCCTTTTTCTTCTTGTCCTCTGGGTTTGGTGGGAGGGGCTTCGAGCTGTGGTTTAGGGGTGTGGGATCCTTATTGCAGGAGCCAATCATGGTGCTGGTGTTCCTCATAGGTGGGGCTGGGGGCTTGTCCTCGACCTCCCCATTATCAGACATCTTCAGATCAACTGCAGCCTGATGCTCCTGCACACACACATAAAAAAAATTACTGAAGCAGCCTGGCTGTGGTGGGAATCAGTTAATGTCAGACCTACAGCTACAACACAGTCTGAGCTCTGTTTGTGCCAAGTAGCTACGTATAAATGCTGGAAATCTGATGGATATATTTAAAAGAAATCGCTGCGTAAGACTCCACTAGAACATTAGGGTCATACCTACAGATGAACTATAGACAGGTATGAGGAAACTGTCACCAAAAAGAGGAAAATAAAACCTCTTCTCCTTACATTCCGATTTGATACCCTTCAATGTTGCCTAACAAAATGAAATCACGTAGAACCATATCATGATCCAGATTCAGAGATCAAGTTCAAAGAAGCCCAATGAATATTATGAGAAGTTTGAGTGACTTTGGACCAGCAGCTGCTTCTATTATATCTGTAAGATGTACTAGCCCTGGATCAGAGTGTAGAACAGGTTGTAGTTCAACCAGAGTATGATAGATGACACTAAACCTGAGTTAAAACACTTCCCACTACAGTTATGACATTAGATTTAGGACCCCTACCCTAAAAAAAACTATAGATGAAATAGTAATCACAGATTGAAAAGCTAATAGACACAGTATCTGACAGACAGCACTGGTTGAGTAATTACCTTAACAGAGACACACCATCACATTCACAGCTCAAAAAACGATCCAGGAAGAAACAACAAGAAAACGAGAAAAAAAACCTCCAGATCTGCTTAGAGTTGAAATGGTAGAAGAGTGACTGGAAGAGTGCAGCTCTTTGACTTTTCACTAGTTCTGCCTCCCTGAGACTGTGATGTCACTGTGTGATGTCATCAGGTGAGTCACATGGGGACGTGATATTGCAAACATTCAAGACTGAAAATCAGTTCAACCAAGGCTGGAATATGAATGAATAAAGACACAAGTGTTTATTGCGTCTAACACCCATAAAAACATGTGCGTGAACAAGTGAATTATTTGTCATTGTGACACAGCACACCACTGCCCCCCCCTTGTCTTATGGTCATTAAGAGCAGAGCACTTCACAAGTGAACTCAGGTCTGCGACCCCTAGGACAATCAGGTTACTGCAGTAAGTTTTTTTTTTTTTTAGAATTTAATATTATTTTATGTTTTAGGAAAACTGAACTTTTGATATGATTTTTTCCTATGACTGAATCTGCTACAAAGATTTTTGACCACAGATGAACACAAGATGTGTCTTAAATTGTTAAATCTGCACCAAAGGCCAAACTGAACCAATCAGCAAATCTGTGATTTTGACACTAAAACAATACTGTAAGTCTTCAGGATGTGTTTAAGCACCAACAAACAGACATTCAGTATGTGCACATGCATTCACAAATAGACAAACAGACACACACACACATACACACACACACACAAAGAGAAGAGGAGACAACAGAGGACTCACATTTCAGACAGTCCTGTCAGTTTCAGCAGAGACCTGTTATTAAACCAACTCACACTCTGTCTACTGCACACACACACACACACACACACACACTGACTGTCTGAATCTAAACACTGGTAGAAAGTAAAGTAAGTTACAGGGATTTTCCCAGACAGACAGAAACTGTCCTCACTGTCAATCATCTGATGGTAAAAAAAACACAGCTGTGTGTGACAGGAACCAACATGGTTAAGACCAGGACACTGTACTTGTGGCAACTTCACATTGTTACAGTCACAAAGAAATTTTCCCCTGTAAAATGTGTTTCATGAAAATTGAGATTTTTTATTTTATTTAGCTATATATAGAACCTATCAATAATGATTGATTTTTTAATGGATTATTTTTACATTTTGACTGACTTTAACATGCACTGACCACACATTTAAGTCTAATTCTAATTCCATTTCTTCGATGGCATAGCCATTAGCTTTGTTACTAGCAAATTTGGGCTAGCAGCTGGACTGGGGCAATTAGACCATCCTCTGGTTATAAAGCAACTCCTAAAGATACTTGTGAGGAAACAGACTATTGTGGCAAGTTCTTATTTAAATACATATTAAGACATTAATTACTTAATTACATTAATGTGGCTTTGATTCTTTTATAATTATATAATAAGGGTAGAAACTGCAGAGGGTTATTTATTTTTAACACTGAGCGTGTAGTCCCTTCCCTGTTCAGTGCATTGGTACAACACTACAGTTTTATATAATTCTCATCCTGCAACTGGGTCAAACTGACTTTCATTAGAAACTATTAACACATTTGGCTCTGGAGAATAAATACACCCAAGAGTATTTATAAGAAATGACACCATATTTCAGGCATGTCAAGGGAAAACTGATTACAAGCTATATTTACAGTCAAGTAAAGCAGTAAATACAAAGTAAACTCCCTGGAATCTGTGGGCATTTCACATCACCAGTCCTGCCTTAAATTATCTAAAAAAATATGTTCCACAAAATACAAAGGTTCTATTTAGACATGTATAACTTGGCTTTGCTGGGCAGCTATATACAAGGCTCATGTTTCCAAAAAAAGCCAGGGGTCAACTAAAAACAAACCACACAAAGTACTAAAGTTTGATGAGTGGAGAGAAAAACAACAACATCTATATCTCTGACCATTTGTGTCATCCTTCCTCCCACCAACCTCTCACTCCTTCTACCTCACTGCCCTTTATTGTGCCTCATCCATCTTTCTGACTCACGCCGCTAGAGGACTTTCTTTAGCCCTGGACCCTTATTTTCATTTAAATTTGAGCCACGTATTAAGTAGCTAAACGAACGTGTTTAGGACGTTGAACTGAAGCAAAGTCACATACACATAATAATAATAATAAATAGTAATAATTCAGTTTCTCTCTGTACCTGATGAGACAGACGTACTTCAAGATGACAGTGTCAAAATCCATCAGACTCAAACTGGTTCAGTGTGTATGACTCAGCATTTTTAAAACACTGCTTGGCCATTGAAGCGCCCACCAAGAGGTCTAAAGACGATTTAGTCAGAATCTGCCATCAGCTATTAAATTAATGTTCTGACATTGTATTCAACTATTGAAAAGATGCATCGTGGGCTGCATGTCACATTTAGAGCTAGAGGTGTTTAAATCCAATGTTGGGGGGTGATTTCTATTATTCCAGCAGGTCAGAGTGTGGGTGTAAAAGACACAAACACACACAAAAAGATAGCAAGTACATGTCAGCACTTCCTGAAAATGCCTTGCCAGCCTCATCAGCTACGTTTACTGGAAAAGGATTTCACTCACACACACACACTGAAGGAGCTTCCCTGCATACATTAACCATCTGAGACGGCGTTCATGCAGCCAAACAGCCTCGGTCATTACATGTTTCATCAACATCTTGATTAGAATCTGTCCCTATCCATTCTACCAAGACCAAAACTTTACTACCATTTTTAAAGATGTCAATGATTAATTGAGGAGACAGTTATAAAATCTTGTGGCCGACCTATTGGCTGGAAGGAAATGTCATGACCATATAAGTCCTGTTCTATCTGCTTTGCTTTGGCTACCTGTGGATTTGTGGATACAACTTACATTTTTATACAAGTTGATGGGAATTGTTTTAAATGTTTGGCATCTTCCCATTCACCGCAGCTTCTTGAGAACCATTCTACAGCCAGAGCACTGAGGTCATCAAACCAGCTGTTCTGGCACTTTCCACAATTCAGCCCATAACTGGAGGAGATAAAGCCTTTTCAGACCTCAGTTTCAGAAGGACTACAAAGCTCTGTGTCCTGTATGCTGTCTGCCCTGGGGTGCTGGGACAAATGCTTGCTAATAAGAAACCAACACCATCAATGTCCGTGCATTGATACAAAAAGGGGATCCGATGTCACGCTGTATTTACAACCCCCTCTGCTGGATTACATGGAAACTCCTCTGCCAGTCTGAGGTCCACGTGAACAGAGTGTTTTATAATGAACCCACAGTAGGTACAAGGAAATCTGTAAAAGGAACAGATGAGCTTGTTAGCACAGTCTGGTGGAGAGAAATGGAGAAACAGACAGAGAGAGACAGAATTGTGTTGCCAATGTGACGTGACAATCCCTGAGGCCCAGACTTCAAATGTACTGTATATTTTAGCATATTTTTCAGACCACACTTCATAGACTGCACACATACATGTATGGAGACAAGTGCCAGACCACACTTCATAGACTTCATAGCACACATACATGTATGGAGACAAGTGCAAATTCACATGCAAGCATACACCCTCACACAGATTATATTTTCAGGTTTGAATTCTCTCTCTCTCTTTCTCACACAGACACACTTCTGTACCACACCCATTATAATTAGGGTCTTTGAAGCCGAGCCCTGGCAGAGTTTTGGGTTCACACTGTACATCCTGACTGCTGTAATGTGGTATTGTCACATCTCAACATCACACTCATATCATGTATCTTGTGATTCGGAGCATTACACCGACCCATCATTAAACGTACTGAGATCTACGGTTGCTCAAAATAAAATTGCCTAAAGTTAACCTTAAGGAATAACACACGTCATTATTATTGCCATGTATCAAATAACTTCTACATCCTCTGCCACACGCCACACACTGTAGTCTATCATTTTGTAAATGTGCGGGCAAAAAAAAGGTAGAGGACTATGTGAAAGAGAGGCTGCAGTCAGTCAGGATGGGGGGGGTACAGGGGGGGGGGGTGTACACATGTGTGCATTTGTGAGCAGTGATTATGCAGCTCATTGTATGGAAGGCATCTCATTCCACAGCCACCCCCCCACCGCCGCCGCCCCTCAACTCCAACAGACACAACCCGCTCTGCACGACCATCTGTCTGGCCCTGGCATCGTGCCTCCAGGACGCCAAGTGACTCCTGACTGTGTGTTTTTGGCGTTGGCAGCTCTCATCACTGTGTTAGCAGCTCCGTCCAAGGCTCCTCCTAACCACATGTTAAAATGTCCTTGGGAAGAATCACGTTTTCACACTCACGGTGCGATGACTCAGGCTTTCCTGGTTAAACAGGTAATAAGGAGACAATATGTCCTGCATTTAGGGGAAAAAAAGCATGTTTCAAGAATTGTATCCTGTCTTTAACCACAGATTTTCATTGGTTAATTATTGTTAGAGTGCAACTAAGTTGTGGAACATGGTTTGGCTCTTTTCAGTAAGGACCACAAAGTTCAGTGAATCACCACTCACTTTGGTTTCCTCCAGATCTACTGAACCACAGCCCATCTAGACCAGCACTAAGGCTCCTACAAATCAACATCACTAACAACAACACATAACGACCCTGCCGTAACTGGAGTTTAATCATAACTGTTCGTGCAAATATTAATTAGAAAATTCCACGAGGCAAAGTCTGATATCACACAGAGACAATCTGTAACTATAAACTGAAAGAAACAATATCACTTTTTAACTGTGAGACAGAAATGATCTCATCACAAACAAGACCTCGGGGCACAGTTGAACAGAAAACCTCATCTGTTCCACCGTAAAGTATGAAATATGACTGTAACCAGGAGAAATGCAGGAAAAGAAAGGAAAGAAATAAGAAAAGATGAAACTGTAGATGCAGCAATGCAGGTGTAAAATGTTATGGTTTTTTATTTATGTGACAGCAAAATCAATTTGACCTTGTATGGTTAAAAATATTATGGGTTGTGTTTGTGTTTCTTCTGGATATAAAATGATTGTTTCCTCAAAATTCAGTTCAAGGTCTTATATTAGATCACTTTTAAGTTTATTTAAATAGATTAATGTTGCTGTTCTATTAGCAAAGCTTCTGATGTACTACATTATGTATGAGTGTGAGAATCTAACTGTTCATAGATTATTATTAACAACCTGGACCACGGAGGTAACAACTCCTGACAAAATCCAATAAACAGAGCCTGTGCACATTGAGCTGCTCACAATCAATACTGTCATTAGGGTCACATTAAGCTGTGAAATGAAGGTTTATCTTTCAACCCTGTACTGACACACACAGTCACACACCCAAAAGGACACAGTTACTTGGGCAAATCCAAA